TCCCAGACGACGAAGCCACCGCAGCCGCGGGGCCACCGAGACCGCACGCCTCCCCCCCTTCAGCGGTCCCCACAGTCGACACCGTCGACTGCGGACAGGGCTCACGCCCACGCGCTGCAACGAAAGGGGGTGAGGGGGTCCCAGTGGCCAGAGCGTCCGCAGCAGCGCCAGCACTTGTAGGGGCCGAACTCGAACTCGTAGCTGGCGGGCATGCCCCTCGACCATCAGGCCCGCCACGATCGAGGGGATTCGAGAGGCTAAAGGCTCGGCGGCCCAGCCGTAGCCGCCGCCGAGCGCGCCGTCGCCAGCATAGCCTCCGCGTCCGCCTTGAGCTTGCTCTCCAGAGCAGCCAGGCGCGCCGCCTCCACAGCGTCGGGCTCGCCTCCGTCGCCCGCAGAGCCGCCTGCCGCCGAGCTGGCGGCTGCGCCCGAGGCTGCCTGGTCGGCCGAGGCCGCCGTAGGCGCAGGGCCATCGCCCGTCGCCTCCGCCACCTGAGGTGGCCCTGGCGAGTGCTCCCTGCGCCGCTTGGCGACCTTCTCGCGCATCGCCGACAGGTTGTCGCGATGCTCCTTGAGCTTCTCGTGAGCCTCGCCGAAAGTGGCCCTCAAGGTGTGCATCAGCGCCTCCATGACAGCCTTTTTCCGACGATCCAGCTCTTCCATATCCTTTTGCTCAATGAGCCCGTCCTCATTATTGAACTCTGCACCAAGAGAGATGGAGAACAGCGAGTCGTCCACCGACTGCGCCGACAACAGCGCCGACAAATCGATGGTGTTGCTCGCCTGGGCGCCACCGCCCGTATCCGTTGGCACCATGGAGCGGAACAGGGTGGCCCTCTCCGCCTCAGCCTGTGCCAACGTCTGCGCTGCATCCAGGAGCGTCTTCTTACACTTCTCCAATTCCCTGGTCAACTTCAACTGCTGAGCTTGGGCCTTGTCGAAGGCCGCCTGAGCCCGTTGCACCTTCGACGCCGCCGCCGTCACCTGCTGCGTGATCGGCAGCGCCGTGTCCGTCTTCTTGCCAGCGGCCCGAGTGGCGTCCAGCAGCGCCTGGGCCGCCTTCGCCTGCTCGGTGCCGCCGCGCGCCTTGATGACCGCCTCAAGCTGCGCCTCCAACGCGCCCAGGTCCTTCCCCTTGCCCTTGCCCTTGCCCTGCTTGGGCCCGCCACCGCCCTCGTCGGCCTCGGGCGGCGGAAGGTTGCTGAAAGGCGCCCCGCAGAGGCACGTATTCTTATACATCGCCAACTTACTGGTCCAGGCCCAGCGCAGACACGCCGAGCACTTCACCTTGGTGTCCTGAGCCTGGGGAGACTCACGCTGGTGCCGCACAGCCCCAGGCAGGGGCGGCGGCGGCGGCACGAACCACGTCTGAGGCACGTGCCATGGCGCCCACCCGATGCCGCTCCCCCGCGGCGCGGCCTGCTGAGGCCCAGGACGGAGCGGGAGCGGCGGCCATAGGTCCCCAGGCTGCACCTCCTGCTGCTTCTTCGCGATGCGAGAGCGCTTGCTCTTGCCCATCGTTTTGCTACCGACTATTTGTGATCTGGATCCCGCCTCGGGGACTGTCGATCCCAGCCGAAATCGCGTGGAGATTGTCGGGGGCCACAAAAGCCCGTGGTGCGCCTCAGCACCTCGGACGGTCGGGGCCCAAACGGCTGGAGGAGGAGGAGGAGGAGGAGGAGGAGGAGGAGGAGGAGGAGGAGGAGGAGGAGGAGGAGGAGGAGGAGGGGTCGCCTAAGCCCTTCGGCAAAACCCTCCAGGTGGCCCTGGGTCTCTTGGGGCGCGCTCTGGACCAAGACGCTGAGGCAAATCTGGCCGCGCGCGACTTTGGCCCATTCCTCCTCGCGACACTCTTGGCATGGAGAAAACGAGCCCTGACGGAAGGGTCCTGCCATGCCCACTCGTCGTGGAACACGTCGCGGCGGGAAGCTTTAGGGAGGGCGCGCCGCTGGTTCCCCCAGTGGGGGGGGGGGTCCAAGCCCCATCCCCTTCGCATCCCCCCTTTCCCCAGGCAGCTGTCCCTGACCCACCGTCCCTTCCCTTATTTCTCGTCCCGGACTCCCCTTCCCCCTTTTTCACAAAAGGGGTGGTTAAAACCACTCCCCCGCTTTTACCTCGGTGCAAAAATTCCAACCGGCGCTTTCGGCGTTGGTTGGTTGTTCAAGGTATTCGTTATTCCAACCTCATCTTTTCCGTTCGGGAAAAGGTCGCCTCTCCCCCTATATCCTCTCTCTGGGCTTGACCCCCCCATCCATCACTGCGCTTTAGTAATGAGCACACCCTCTCCCACCCGACCAGGGACAAACCCGGCTCACTGCCAACACCCCCCCACCATCCCTGGAAACTGAAACAATGGTGCATATTGCAAAAGAATCTGGATAATGTGCCGACGCCGCGCGACACATTGGAATTGATGGTGGGATGGGGGTCGACATATTACCTAATCTGGATCATGCGCGGGCGCGCCGCGATCACTTTGCATTGGTTTTTGACAGGGGCGGCGAAGATGGGCGGCACGTTGCCAGCTGTGTGCACTGCCAGCAGCCCCCCACACCATCCATTGCAACGTAAAATGCAAAATCCACGCTGCTCCCAAATCAGGATCATGCGCGGGCGCCTCGCGATCACTTCGCATGGCTTTTGACAGGGACGGCGGAGGGGCTGCCATGTTGCCTCCTGCGTGCGGGCCTACCGCCGGTGTCAACAACAATTGCAAGATGATTGAGGGTGCACGCGCAAACTGCACAATGCTGACGAGCCCGCCGTCACTATGCCTGGTTTTTTGACAGGGATGGTGGAAAAAGGTCGACATGCTGCCCAGTGCGGCGCACCTCGTGCGCGCGGCGTACTTTTGGCACGTGCGGCGAACACATCGTGGGCGTCGCGCGCCCGGCTGGCGCCCACAGTGGTTCCCGAAGGCTGTCGATTGTGTCCTCGGAGGAGGAGGAGGAGGAAGGAAGGAAGGACGGAAGGAAGGAGGAGGAGGAGGAGGAGGAGGAGGAGGAGGAGGAGGAGACTGAGCGAGACAGCTTGCGGCGATCCCGATGGGGCCTTGACCCTACCCTCCCCACCCTACCCTCCACCCTACCCTCCACCCTACCCTCCACCCTACCCTCTCCCACCCCCTCTATCTGTCGGTCCACCTCGCCCGCACTCAACGCCTCTCCTCCGCGCACCTCCACCTCCTCCCCCTTTTACCCCCCTTCTCCCCCTCCCCCTTTCCACTGGCCCCTCCCACCGCTCCCTTCCACACGCCCCGCCCCCCGCCGCCCCCATTCCCCTCCCCCGCTCTCCCCCCTCCGTCCCTCCCTCCGGAGCTTGCGGGAGATGGCCCCCGAAAGCTTCCAGATGTTTCTCGTTGATCGACAGCCCTGGAGATGCATGCCTGATGCCCTGCAGGAGGCGGAGAGGAATGGCGACGACGAGGGAGAACGGACCAAAGGAACACGCAGCCCGCAAAGTGAGCGTTTCCTTATTCTTCGTTTCGACATTGGGCGGAAAGGGAGAGAGGGGGGGGCCTGGCTCCTGACTTCTGCTTAACGCGACTGTTTGCAACAGCGCGTCCTATGCTCCACCTGCTCGAAACAGGAGCCCCAAACAGCCAAGATCTACTCCATTTGGGGGGGTGCGAGGGCCCGCGCCGACCGGCCGAACAATGAATAAGGAACTGATCGCAAAGCGGGGTTCAAACATTTTGTTCGCCCAGAGGCGCCACGAGAGGCTCTCCAAGGAGATACAGCACACAACGGACATGAAAATGAAAAACCGTGCAGTTGTCACGGAACTCGAGCGCAGCCTCAGAGGGCCCTAAGAAGCTCCATGCAGCCCTTCAAAAAGGCTCCGTCATGGGGAAACCAAGAAGTACTGATACCGCTGCTCCCTGGACCTCCCCCGGGGTGAGTGCTGACTAAAACTTCGAGGCGACTCCAGCGGCGGCGACGAGGGCCCCCCAGAAGGTCCAAAACGGGAAAAACGAGGCCAGGGTAGTGATATGGGTACCTGTTCCTCCTCCGACGAAAAGCCAATCAAGGTCCCCAAGCGGGGCTCCAGAAGAGGGCCCCGAAAGAGCCCCAGAAGGCGGCCAAACCGGTCCCAGAATGCCTCCGAGATGCCTCCAAGAGAGGCTCCCAGCGCGTGATAACATTTTGCCACGCATCCTACATTCCTGATCGGGGCAGCTCGCTTCGTGATTGTTTCTGGCTGGGCTGGTGGGGATAAGCGAAGCGAAACGCCTAACCCTACGCCTAACTCTTAACCCTAACCTTCGCATCCGAACAGATTACAAGTACTAACGCTAACATTATAACGCCCTAAGCCTCTATTCCTATATTTGTCACTGCCCTCCGGCCAATCCCCGATTGGTTCCTCACGGATCTCTGGCCGCTATCCCAATCGCGACCCCAGGCAAACAAAACGCGGTGCACATCCGCTGATCGATCGCAATGCCGTCTCGATACAACCGTTGGTCACGGCACGCCCAGTGTCTGATTTTCCCACCTACCCAACCCCTGCGACTCTGGACAAGCATGAAACGTGGCGAACATCGGCGGACATTCACAGCGGTCCAAAACTCACCATCCCCTGCAACAGAAACATTAAGTGCACATCTGCTGATGTTCACAACCCTCCTCCCCCTCCTCCTCCTCCTCCTCCTCCTCCTCCTCCTCCTCCTCCCCCCCTCCTCCCTCTCCTCCTCCTCCTCCTCCTCCTCCTCCTCCTCCTCCTCCTCCTCCTCCTCCTCCTCCCCTCCTCCTCCTCCTCCTCCTCCTCCTCCTCCTCCTCCCCTCCTCCTCCTCCTCCTCCTCCTCCTCCTCCTCCTCCTCCTCCTCCTCCTCCTCCTCCTCCTCCTCCTCCTCCTCCCCCTCCCCCTCCCTCCTCCTCCTCCTCCTCCTCCTCCTCCTCCTCCTCCTCCTCCTCCTCCTCCTCCTCCTCCTCCCCCCCTCTGCTCCTCTTGCCCTCCTCCTGCCCCCCTCTGCGCGTGGCCGACTCTTGCCCTCCGAC